GTGACAGGATAATATGCGCGAAGCAGTAAAAGCCGGAGCATGACGTAGCATCTAATTTGAAAGGGGAATGCTTAAACGAACGTTTACTATAGAGAAAACAACCAGCACCACGCTTATTATTGCGGCTTTGACGGTAGAAATCAGACTCGTCTATTATAAGTAATAAAACAGAAACTAACAGATGGGCCCACGATTCTGTAAGGAATATAACAGCAGGCTTCAACTCGAAAGCAATGGCTCCAAATTGAGCCCTCTTTTTTATAATGGATCTTGCATTTTGAACTCGAAAGTTCATATGCATTAATGCCGGAATTAGCTTTTTTAAAGTTACATGAGAGTGGGGTAAATCTAGACGGGCTGGTGGGAAAGAAAACGCAAATATAAGGATTACATGATGGAAATTGGGGTCTAGTATGATGGTTAAGATAGGTTTGTTAACACATACGTGAGATATTCTTCCATTGTTGAGGATTATTTAGTGTCTGAAAAGGCATTATGCAATTAGTTATGACTGGATCACGTCATTTTGTCGATATTTTTTAGATGATTTAATGAGACGATTAGGAGGACTTCGTTCGAATAAAGAAGATATTGGTCTACTTGACGTAAACGGATTTTTGGACGTTCTAATGAGGCTACCAGAAAAATTAGCCAATACAACTGGGGGAGCAGCTAATTTGGAAGCAGACGACGGTGTCGGATGACTTGAGTGTGAGGGATGGTTAAAGTAATTGGAAGCGGTAAGCCAGGTTTGCCAGCCGTACGATAAAGTGTACTTTGTAGACCTAGTACAGAGGCCAATGTGCCATATTTGTTCTTGCAGCTTCGAGTAGGCCGAAGCAACATATACAACCAGCTTCTATTCAGGAGCCAACCTTTATTATTTATGACTTAAGACTATGTATAGAGACGCCGGCGCCCGCCTCCTTGGTAACTGTGGAAAATGTGTGTTGCCAGAAATTGAACAAAGACAAAGCCGACGCGAGCAGACTTATTGTGGCGATGACCGTCCAGATAAGGAAGATGAATATGCAGTCAGCCGATATGAATGCATGGTTAAAAGACGTGTATGCACGGTTAGCAGACAGTAATGCACCGTTAGCGCCCCTCTCTGATAGGAAAGGAAAGGAATTCCAGGCGGAGCGACGGCTAGCTTTCAAAACAATATGCAATAGGTACAAGCAACACCAGCGCATTTCACTAGTATCTTGAAGAGGAATACAGCCGTCGCCAATATCAGGTCTTCATCCCTGAACTTTCCATTGAGCATGCTGGACGACTATAACGACTTCATTCGTCGGCTAAGTGCGGAAGCAGG